GGAAGCGGAATGTGGCATCAGGATTGGTTTGGTGTTCAGCGCTTTCGAGTCCATTCCAACACATAGCAACCCTCCGTACAACAAAAGGAAATACTGTCCAGTCCTGCGCCATTCTCACAATTGTCCTGTTTGAGCTCATTGTTGTATCCACTGTGTCCATCCTTGTCCAGGGCTCTCCTCCTTTTCAATGCCCTAGTGGAAGAAGGCTTATTAACCACTTGTGAAAGGCAGGTGACAACCTTGTTTGCTGAAAGTGAGGAGGACTTGAAGCATTTGCTGATGAAGTTCCAGGACTTCAGCCATCAGTATGGATTATAACTCAGTGTAAAAAAAACCAAAGACAAATTCCTTACAACTGGACCAGTAGGTAACATTATGGTAAAAGGAGAAAAGATGGAAGTTGTCAAGGATTTGGGGGATCTACAATCAATGCTTATGTAAGCACAGTCAGGAGATCAAACACAATGCATTGGGTAAATCTGCTGCATAAGACCTCTTTAAAGTGTTGGAAAGCAAAGATTTTGCTTTCAGTATTAAAGTGTGCCTAACCCACGTTATGGTATTTTCAACCTCCTCATATGCATGTGGTGGAGCCCTGGGCTGCAATCTGCATGGTCGACAGTTCAAAACCTCCAGCAGGTCTGCAGGAGAAAAACTGGACTTAGCTCCCATAAACAGTTACAGTCTAGGAAACCCACAGGAGAGCACCATGAGTCAGCATTGCCTAGAGGACAGTGTTGAGTTTCATATGCATGTGAAAGTCAGACGGTAAATAAGGAAAGCCAAGGAAGAATCGATGTGTTTTAGTTATGGTGCTGGTAAAGAACATTGAAAGTACCCTGAACTACCAAAAGAACAAGTAAATCTGGGAAGAAGGACAATCAGAATGTTCCCTAGAGGCAAGGATGGTGAGACTTCTTACATATTTTGGACATGTCAGGAGAGACCAGTCCCTGGAGAAGGACATCATGCTTGGGAGGGCAGAGGAGCAGTGAAAAGAGGAAGGCTCTCAACAAGATAGTCTGACACAGTGGCTGCAGTGATGGCCTCAAACATGAGAATAGTTGTGAGGATGGCAAGGACTCGGTGGTGTTTTGTTCGGTTGTACACAGGGTCACTAGAAATCAGAACCCACTCGGTGGCACCTAACAATTGTGCCTAAGGATGGATGTGGGGGAGGGGCAGCTACAGTGGTTAAGGCTAGATTCAGACTGAGCCAGTTGTTAAAATATTAATAACTCTAATTATTTCTTGGCTTAATAGATTTTCCAAAAGGTCAGAACTTGGAGCTCAAAGAAATTGACTCACACCCTGATTTTAGTGTCACCTAGCTTGTGTGATTGGGTGGGAACACTTCGGGCCTCATCTTCTTCGTTTATCAACTAAGGACACCGTTCTCTGGGCACTAAGAACTGTTTTCTTATGATGATGAATGTTTCCAAGGCATCTGAGTATGCCAGACCACACACAGCTCATCGTTATCCTAACATTCAGCCTGTATTTAAGTTTACATTACAAGGCTAACTTAGGTCAATTTGGGGCAAAGAAAGATCGACATACATCCATTATTATCAACATAAGTATTTTTAACAAAACATAGACATTTTCATTTGCAAACACACACACTTATACACACACAAAGGTAGTGTAAAAAAATCAGCAGAAAAACTCTGCTTAATAGATAGACAAGCATTCAATACTGGAAAATTTACAGCAGTGCAGTGTTATGCTTGGTGTAGCCAACAAGCAAGCCGTGCATGCAACACAGGAATACTTTCTGAAGTTGGAGGAGGGCTGCTCACAGAAGAGATGTAGTCACGCATTTCCATCCTAGATAACCACTTAGAGCAGTGGTTCTCAACCTGTGGGTCGTGACCCTTTCCCGGGGGTCGCCCGATTCATCACAGTAGCAAAATGACTGTGACGAAGTAGCAACATAAATAATTTTATGGTGGGGGCTGGGGTCACCACCACATGAGGAACTGTATGAAAGGGTCTCGGCATTAGTAAGGTTGAGAGCCACTAACTTAGAGGAAGTCCATGCGTTTGGTGTCTGGGGGAACAATGGAAAGGCATTGTGGACCTCGCCGGTGTTTTCAGGTGACAAAGTCGCTAGCAAAGCAAGCCAGTCAGTGGCCCCGACACTGCGCAGCAAGGCCGTCTGCAGCAGAGGCCTCACGCACCTGGGGGTAGCAGGAAGACGCCCCGCAGGCGGCCCGCGCTCAGCCGGGTGCGGAGCAGCTCCGGGGTGGAGAACCGGCGCTGCAGCTGGGCGGAGGCCAGCGCCGGGCCCGGCTGCGGCACCGTGTCGTGGACGGTCACCTCCACCTTGAGGGGGTTTTTCATCGCGCCCCTCGGCATCTGGCGGAGCCAGGGATTCTCCACGCCCGCTGGCTTGAGGCTCCACAGGAGCCCCATGGGCTCCACGCCCGTGAAGTCGCCGCCCAGGGCCGGGTCCCTGGCCAGGTCCAGCGTCCCGCGGCTGTCCGCCTGGTAGCGCGCGCTCGAGTGGAAGAGGCGGCCTCGGTGGCTGACGGCCGACGCCCGCAGGGTCACCGGCTGCCCGGGGCCCAAGCCCTCCACTCGGATCTCCACGAGCTCGTCTGCCAGCGCGGTCCGGGGCGTGACGGTCAGGGTCGCGGCCTGGTGCGAGGAGAGGGACGCTGTGTGCAGCGATCTCCCCGGCGGGGGTGGGGCGCCG